AGTGACGACACGACCGGTGAGTGCTACGTATTCATTGAAGTATGCAACAATAACCCAGAGAAACCTTTTCGCCTTAACTCAGATTTATTTTTTTTCGAACACATCAAAGATCTCAAATTGGATGGTTTGATTAATATCAAAACCATCACAATGGCAAAGCCAAACTTGGTTTTGCCACTGCGGTTGATGCCAACAACTTTATAATAAACAATGATTTTGGTCCAAAGTCTTGCAAGGCCTACATCCCTAGAATTTTCACAGAAAAATTTGGGATCGTAAAAAACATTCCACCTTCAATTAAGGAAGAGGACTTTCTCAACTCAGCTACCTCTGATATTGAAATCATTTCTTTTACAAGAATCCTCAGAAGAGACCCTGCAGACAGAGAAATGTTCATCCCAACAAGCAGCCTAAAAATTGGTTTCAAGGGTAAACTAATTCCCAAGAGTATAAAATTCAACTATTGCAATATTCCAGTTGACTACTTCATTCCTTCCGTCAGGCTCTGCTATAATTGCGGCCGATTTGGTCACATCGCCAAATTCTGCAAAAGTAAGGAAAACAGATGCCTGAACTGTGGCAAGTCACCGGCCTGTCCTACGGACTCATGCCTCTCAATCAAATGTCTAGGTTGCGGGTCGCTGGACCACAACGTAACATTTCGAGAGTGTCCAAAAAGAAAGAAAGAGGAAAATTTAAAAAAAATTTTAACCATTCAGAACTTATCTTTTAGAGAATACAAAGAGAAATTCTCTAACAACCCATACAATTTACTTGAAAACTATGACGTAAACTTCCCAGCAATGAAGGACAGCAATGCTCCTACCAATATCAGAGACCCTACTATTGATACAAATAATATTTTAATTAACAAAAACTTCAATGCAGTTTTAAAAAATAAAACAAGTATTCCCAAGTCCTTGCATAGAATGTCTCTCAAGACGCCCTCGACTTACAGTAACAAGTCGCAGGAGCCAAAAAAACCTACCCCGTCCCCTGAAATGTATACTTTCATCAATTACCATAAATCCACTGAAATGGAGATAATTCTGGAAAAGATTTTCAAGATTCTCTCCATCTCTTCTCAAGAAGATATGCTTAAAACCATCCAAACAGAAATAAGTTCCCTTAAATCAAAAATTGATCTTTTAAAACAAGGTACATCTGGGTCGGCCCTATCATGTTCTAACATTTCTCATGACGTCCTTCCTACAGTATAACATACAAAGCTTCAGGCGTAATGCCCATTCTCTTGATTTTTTCATAAATTCCAACCGAACTGATTTCGCCATCTTGAGTGAAATCTTTCTGTCCGATGAAAAAATTTCCGATCTCAAAATCTCAAATTACAACTCCGCTTATAAATGTAGAAGTGACGGCTATGGAGGTGTTGCCATCCTTGCCAGAAAAGGCATATCCTTCAAACAAATCCCATTTAAATCGACTGCTGACATAGTCATTATCAAAACCTCTTGTCTAAAACCTAATATCGTCATTGCTGCTTCCCATCCCAGCCCAACATCCCCATTCAATCTTTCCGGGATGACTTTAATCGTCTCTGTGATATGCTCAATAGTTTCCACAATGTCATAATTGCAGGAGATTTCAATGCAAGACACCCTTGCTTTGGTGACTCCGTGTCAAACAATAAAGGCAAAGCCTTGCAAGAAATCATTAAAGCTAGTAACTTCTATTGTCTGAATGATAATTCACCAACCTATTTTCACTCTATGACCAACAATTGTGGTAGCGTGTTGGATCTTACTTTCACTAACGCAACCCATCTCACATTCAAACGGGAGGTTAAAAAAGAAATTTTCCTGGGAAACAGCCACCACCTTCCTATTCTCTTTAATGCCACCTCTATTACCTCGTACAAGATAAATGACTTTATCTCGAGGAAAAAACTCCTAAATAATCTTATTCACGTATGTCTTGAGCCACAGGTCGAATCTATCCAGTGCTCATTTCAACAAGAAATAATTAACGCCAAATCCGACATCCAAATCTCGAATTCCTACTCACCAAAACCTTGGTGGAACGAGCTGCTCACTTCACAATTCCGTAAATTACAGGCTGCTAAACAAAAATTTTCCAAATACCCCAATATTTCTAATTTTGAAGATTTCAAGTTATCACAAAAAGAATGGAAGAAATCGATTAGAAAAGCCAAAAGATGCCATCGAGCCCTCGTTATCGAAGAGCTATGCTCAAATAGCAATACAAAGCCATTCTGGAAATTTTTAAATGGTCATCGCACCACAAAAAAGAAATACAAGCACCCCATTTGGGATGATCTCAACAACAAATCCTACCTTGAATGGCTGAAAGCTCAAGTTCCCTCGACATGTGGTCTCCAAACCTCCTTACTTAACTCTCGGATGGAAAACATCCCTCCATTCTCCCTTGATGAACTCATGCACGTCCTTAAGTCGAAAAAGAAGTCCACAGCAGCAGGCCATGACGGAATCAAATATGAAATGACAAAGGTCCTTCCCATGCCAAGCCTTCTAACCCTGCTATCTGCTATAAATGAGCGCTGGATGACCAACTCGTTTCCCACCGTTTGGCGTACAATTAAAATAGTGCCCATTCCTAAACCCGGAAAAGATCTTGAAATATTCACCAACTTCAGACCCATATCCCTCTTGCCTGTTCTTTTAAAAATTACCAACCAAATGATTAAAGAAAGACTAACAAAATTCCTAAATCACTCACACCTTCTCCCGTCAAGGTCCTTTGCTTACCAAAAAAATATCTCCACCGGTATGTGCCTTAATGAAGTCCTTTTCACAATTGCAAATGAAAAAGCAAATGGGAACCAGATAGTCATGCTTTGCTTAGACATTAATAAAGCTTACGACTGTGTAAACTTAGCGAAACTGGACCAAATTCTATCTGATTTTAGAATCCCGACACAAAATAGGCATTGGGTTCTCAACTTTCTTTCCTCGAGAACTCTCGTATTAGATTCACATACAGTCGAAGTTTGTGGAGGCTTACCTCAAGGTAGCTGTCTCAGCCCAGTTCTCTCCAATTTATACACAGCCGGTTTACATCAATTACAGGACAATTCTACCCATTTATTTCAATATGCTGACGATTTCCTCATCATCTCTGCTGGAAAATCATTAATGGAAGCAGTCCGTAACCTCGACACTAAAGCCAATCTTTTTCACAAACTTTGTGCAGACTTAAATCTAACTTTCAACCCGGAAAAATCAAAAGTCGTTCGCTTTGCTAAGGGTCCCAAAAAAATTTCTTACATTACAATCAATGGTATAAAAATCAGTCCGTCTTCCTCTTTTAAATTTTTGGGCAGAATAATCAACTCAAGTTTAACCACGCATGAGCATTACAAGGATAGCCTCGAAAATTGCAACACAGGCTCAAATGTCATCAAACTTCTGACCAACATTCACACCGGACTCCCACCTAGGAAAGCATTAAACGTTTACAAATCTATTGTTAGATCCAAAATTGAATATCCCTACTCTACATCGTGTAACGCTCCTGCGTATACATTAAAAAAAATACAAACCCTTCAACACTCAATCCTAAGACGTTGTAGCGGTTTGTCCCCCTCAACACCAACATCAATTTTACGTTCCATCTCTTATGAACTCCCCGTTGCTAAGAGAATTTATCTTGTAACTGCAAAAGAGCTTCTCAAGGTAAAAATCTTCAAACCTGCCTTCTTTGACGAGGTCGCTTCCAGACACAATCATGTCATCAGTAGTTACTCTAACTGCTTCAAAAAATTCAGTAACATCTTCAATAAAGTTAACTCAATACCCTCCTGGAATAATATTATTCATGATAAATGCGTAGTTGAATTAAACTTACTTAATTCAATCACAAACTCAAAAAAAAATCGATCAGGGTCTTGTCTTCGAATCGCTTGTCTGCAAAAACTTAACCACTTCGTCGAAAATAACTTCAAAATATACGCAACGGATGGATCTATCAATTCGGACATCTCTAGTTTTTCAATTATTGAATACCCAAACTTACTTATAGGAAAATTTAAAGTTCTACAAGAACTATCATCCACTTTCATTGAACTTCTGGCCATCAGACAAGCAATCATCCACGCATCTGAAATTAAGCTGAAAAAATTTGTAGTTTTCTCTGACAGCAAATCTGCTCTAATTTTAATCAAGAACAAAGACCCATTCAATAAGTATGTCTTCGATATCTACAACCTTTTAAAAGACGCAAGTATTGAAATGCCACATCATCTGGATCCCAGGTCACTGCGGTTTTAGTATCAATGAAAAAGCTGACTTCCATGCTCGTCAAGCTAGGTTCGATGGTACAGTTTTGTCCATAAACTACCCCCCCAGCGAAGCTTTTCTGCTAGTCAAAAAACTCATCATAAAAGAATGGAAAGATGAGTATCATGTTTTAGCTAGAGAAAAAAGTGACCGGCTGTTCTACAAAATTTACCCTTTTTTGACACCCACGCTTCTACCTAAAGGAAAATTCACAACATGGGAATTTAAAGTTCTTCACCGTCTTATGAGTAATCACACCTACGACAAGGTCTATTTTAAAATGATCAAAGTCTCCTCCTCTGACATCTGTGAGGATTGCAATATTACTGAGTCTGCCGAGCACCTTATTTTTGAGTGCAGGAGGTTTGACATCCTTAGACAATCTTTCAGTATATTTAACCTGTATAACAATCTATATGAAATTTTTCGTGCTGGTAACTTTAGGCATTTGAAGCAACTGACTGCCTTTATCAAATCAGCTGAGTTTTCATTCTAATTTTACATTTAGTATTTCTATTACAATCACGAATCGCCTACACTTTTTCTTTTATCGGCATTATTATCCGGATCTTGGCAGTACAGTAACAAGGACGGTGATTTATGGATTGACAGCGGAACAGAGCCTCTAATTGCGAACACTCTGCCACATCAGTCTACCTATGCTTAAATTTTTTCATCAATCGCTCTCAACTTCGTTTCTGGATTATGGATCTAACATTAACTTAACTGGTCTTTTTTTGTTTTTTTTTTGGTATGTTGAACAAGGAGATGGACTAAGTTCAACATACTTAACTGGTCCAATCCATCTCTAAACAAACAAAAAAAAAAAAAAAAAAATTATCAATTTATAAACAAACAAATTGGTCGTGCAATACCATGATCAGCTGTTTTCCCAAGAAAAAATATTAAATTATTTAGGAAAAGATGTAAAAATTTTTTTTTGAATAAACGCAATTATTAAAATCAAGTAAAAAAGCTGTAATTTGAAGAACGTTTTCGGATTAAAATTATAAGATTGCATTTGTGGTTAGAAGACGGAAAAATTGAAACGATATTAATAGGAAAAAGAAACTAGTGAAAATTGCCCAAAAACTCGAAAAGAAAAATGTTTCGGAGTCGGAGTTGGTTTAGTGGCGCTTGGAAGAAACCAAAAACCGTTTATCGTTGGAACATCTAAAATATTTATCTAGTATTTTAGAAAGAAATACAGCGGTATCCGAGTGTAATAGGGGTTTACTGGTAGAAGAGAAGTATAGCAGTTCGGTTTTCCAGTAAGCAGCGCTTAATCACTCACTCTTTATAATTATGTATTAATTATTTTCCTTTTTCTAGCTTTTTCCTAGAGAAAAATATGTTATCAAACTTTTTGCATATAATGCGTCAAAAAAGTGGAAGTTCCAGTTTTGTATATGTTCAATTATTACAAACTTTAAAATATACGTAATGACACTTCATTATGTGGGTTGATGCTAACTTAGTGAAACATTATAATAATTATTAATAGCTTCTTTTTTTATTCTTAGATTATTTGTTAAGTAACAATCACGTAAACTCAATAATCGTGCATAAATTTGACTTTTCTAATGAAGATGTTATGGGTTATTATATTGCATATTTTATTTGTAGCGATGATACAAGAACCGTCCGTAACATTTAGTTACATTTATTTAATAGAAATATGTATTTTGCGCATAGTATGCAAATATTTTCAAACATATACGCAACGATCTGAATGTCAAGAATGGCAATATTAAATTACGAGAAAAATGATTAAAGTTAAATAATAATCAAATTACCTTTGGTTGCCATTTATTTTCATTTTGCCATATAAGTCCATTAAGAAACGATTAACCCGTGTTCGCCCCAGCAGTCGATATATTTTATTTAAGTTCTCTTTAGCACTAATATGAGTTATCGAAAGTCGAAATCTTCACAAAACAATAGCAATATATCGGTGGCTACTTATATATGTAGCATAATCGAGCTGAGTTGCCATTGCTCATCAGGCGAAAGGTTCGCGCAACTTCATCAACAAGTCCCAGAACGGGTAAAGCTGTACTTGTGTTGTTGGATCACGGTTCCACGAAACACTGATCCATCGCTGAGTAAAAAATTTCGTATGCATGGTCGAATGCTTCGTTTACTCCTATTTTCGGGAACACCGGCTTGATATATTGACTATTTGTTTATGGGGTCTTTCGCAATCTTTTCACCCATCATCTCCTCGTAAATGTTGTCCTCCTTCTACGTCATGTCTCGCAAGCAGTGACGGCGATTTAATTGTTCCCGGATGCAGCGTTCTACTCCGAAAGCCGTGAACAACCGCAGGTATCTTATCTCGCGATATATGAGTTGGAGTCCGCGGAGATTTTTAAATACCTTTCCATCGAGCCCGAATGGTGTGTAGTCTTCTTCAGGCTCTTTCACGATTTCGCAACTCATTGTGTTTATTCAGCCGTAATCATCGTCTGTTTTAAATGCACTCTTGGATTTGAAGATCTGCAGGTTCCTTAGGCGGTTACACAACTACACGATCTCGACGGGCGATCTGGTTTTCTTTCGTTTCGATATGGAGATATTTAGGAAATATCCCTCGAGAAGGTCTTGGCTTACCCTGCAATTCCGTTATGGAGCTCCGATTAAATATATTTACGAAATCTGTTATCACATTAAAGATTTCGCATGTCTTCTTTGCAACTTTGGCGTCGTTTTTAAATACACCTTCTTTAATTCCCGCTTGCAGGATGGTTAGCATGGAGTCGTTGAAGAATTGAACTAAATCTGGAACATACCGCGGTGCTACGATCGTTAAAACGGTACCTCGTTAGGCCCACAATTTACTGGTGGGGTCAAGTAGCTTGTAGAATTTTGTACGTATTGTCCAGTCGTTTGTATCTTTCTTTTTTTCTATTTTATCCCTTAAACTCCGCAGGAGGAGGATAATCATACATTAATACGATTCCAGCGGGTCATTTGTTTACAGCTTCAGCATATGCGGTATTATGGTCAAAAATTTAATTTGTTTAGCCAGGTTCATATCGTCTGCTAGTACTTTTGCCAATGAATTCGGATGTGTGATGGGCTTCACACTTAAGATCATATTAAACGCCGTCGTCAGGCTTCCAACGGCGAAGACGAGCATCGTTTTGTAAGCAAAAGTTGTTTTCTTCCCCTCGTCGGCGCAATGACCTCCAATTAGTGTATCGGCCTCCGCGAATACACTGCCTGATTATTGGTGACTTTGTCGAAACACATTTGCACTATTTTGTTTTCTGGCGTCAAACTCCTAACGACTTCCCGAAGTTCTTTTACGTCCGGCACCACGCTGTCAGGTTGGGGTTCGACCTTTTGGTCGTCGTAAATTTCAAGGCACCGTTGCAATACTTCTTTTTCGGCATTAACCTTCTCCAACTGTTTGATGAGCCTCTCATGGGCCCACGTTGACGGGCCGCTGTTGTAAAACTCGTCGATGAATATACCTGGGGTTACCTTATTTATATTTGTTAGATCTAACTTACGTACTGGCGTCTTAAATGGTTCCTCTATCACTTGTGCTGTCTCTTGAACCTTCGTCGTTTCTTCTGTCTCCACTACGTTGGCTCCTGCTTGGATTACCCGATTTTGTGGATTGTAAACTTCCTTTCTTCGCGAACCCTTGTGATGGGCTAAAATTCAGTTGAAGTTTGTGGAGGTCTACCTCAAGGTAGCCGTCTCAGTCCACTACTTTTTAATCTATATACAGCCGGTTTACATCGATTGGATTACCCATTTATTTCAATATGCTGATGATTTCTTAATTATTTCTGTTGGAAAATCGTTAGTAGAAGCAGTTTATAACCTTAATATCAAATCGAATTGTTTCTACAAAGAATGGGCGGATTTAAATTTATTTTTCAATCCTGAAAAATCAAGTCATTCGTTTTGCTAAGGGCTGTAAAAAAATTTTCTACATCACACTTAACGGCTCAAAAATCAAACAATCTTCCTTTATCAAATTTCTAGGTAGAATAACCAACTCAAGTTTGACCCTTAATGACCACTACCGAGAAATTCTTGAAATTTGCTACACAGGCTCATATGTTATCAAACTTTTAACCAATTTAAAAAATGGACTCCCACCAAAGAAAGCTTTAAATGTCTATAAATCTACTGTCAGTCGACAACTGAATATTCATACTCCACATCGTGCAATTCCCCTGTACATAATTAAAAAAATATAAACCTTCCAACACTCAATTCTAAGACGCTGTACTGGTCTGTCGCCCTCGACACCAATATCAATCTTACGTTTCATTTCGTATGAACTTCCTGTAGCAAAAAGAATATTCCTTTTAACTGCAAAAGAAATTCTCAAAGTAAAAATTTTTAAAAACCTGCTTTTTTCGATAAAGTTGTCTCCAAACATAATGATGTCTTCAGTAGTTACTCAAGCTGTTACAAAAAATTCAGTAATATTTTGAATAAAGATAAAACAATAACGTCTTGGAATCGTATTACTCCTAAAAAGTTCGTTCTGGAATTAAACATACATAAATAATTCCAAAATATATGCAACGGATCGATCAGTAAATTCGGACATTTCTAGCTTCTCAGTTATAGAGTATCCAAATTTACTTTTAGGAACATTCAAAGTTCTGCAAGAGTTATCATCCACCTTCATTGAACTTCTGGCCATCAGACAGCCAATCCTCTTTGCAATTGAGAACAAATTTAGAAAATTTGCATGTTTTTCTGACAGCAAATCTGCTCTGATCCGAAACAAGAATAAGGATCCTTACAACATGTACGTTTTTGAAATTTACAATTTATTTGATATCAACGAAAGAGCAGATTTCGTTTGATGGCACGGTTTTATCCATTAACTATCCTTTTAACCAGGTTCTCCTGCTAATCCAAAAAGTTATTTTAAAAGAATGGAAAGACGAGTACCATGTTTTAGCTAGAGAAAAGAGTAACCATCTTTTTTACAAAATTTACTCTTTTTTTTCACACACAAACATGAATTACATGAGTAATCACACTTATGACAAGGTATGCTTCAAATGATTTAAGTCTCTTCCACTAATAATTGCGAAGAATGTAACATTATTGAGTCTACCGAACATCTAATTTTTAAGTGCAGAAGGTTTAACATCCTTAGACTATCTTTCAGTATATTTAGCCTATACAACAATTTATTTGAAATTTTTAGTGCTTTATGCATCTTAAGCAGCTAACTGCCTTTATAATATCAACTGGTTTCTCTTTTTAATTTTCTATACTCATAATTTCACCTATATTTTTTTCTTCTTCGGCATTCTTAGCCGGAATTTCGACGGGTTTGTGAATTAAAAGCATATGCGCCATCTTAGCAAAAATATTGTTCTAACAAATAAATTAATTAATTTAAATTATATTAAAAACCTATTAAAATTATATTTAAAAACAAATATAATAAAAAAAATAATCTTGAAACTAAATACTCTAATCGTAATAATACAGATAATAAATGTTTCCGATTAGAAATAAAAATAAATACTTCTATTACATACAACCTGGGTCTTGTAAACCAAAATTAAATTATAAATTTTTAAAACATTAAGAAAAGGAAATGTCTTTATCATTAATCTCCAAAATTAATTTATTAGTTAAACTACTTGAAATTGTTCGAGATATATTTATCGCTTACTGTACACCGCAATAGTCAGAGAGTAATTTAGTAAGAATGTGGATAAATTACTAAGAAACTAAGTGATAAATCATTTACTACTCCTGGCGCAGTAGATTTGACTTTATCAAATGCTGTTAAAAGTTGTAATATGTTTATTCCATGAATGGAGAACAGTAAGTAACAGTCATTTACGTTTGGTCAATTTGTAGCTGTGTTTGCTCAGAAAATGACGTTTGATGGCTTTCACCTCAGCAGCATCTACATTTAAATCTTCAGCATCTTTGAACACAAATTGATGTAATTTGCGCAACAGCTGCCTTTCATTTGAATCTGCGAAAGTTAGCACGTCCTGAAATTTCTAGTTATGTATTTCAATTTATTCCTTTGTATACAAATGGTCCTCCAATTAACACCTTCCTTGTCGCGTAATACGCCTCGTAAGCTGGATTGCGCAGAGAAAGACGAAATTTGATTTCGTTACAATTAAAGCAAGACTCACAACTTACAGTGGACTCGCGTATTACCTTGTATTGTGTTTTAGTATTTGATGTTATATGTGGCAATTCTGGAATTTAGTGTCTGAGTACACACTCTGTTATAATCGTAAAATTCTGAAGATGCGTCCGCCTTACGCATTCAAGTGCTAACAGCTACGCAAATAAATGGTGCATTCACTACACTTTGCATTATGAATTGCTTAATTCTTTTTTATCTATGCCTTAAAAATAATTATATATTAGCCAATAAATTGCGAGTCTTGACATCACTATAAAAAAGTCTAAATTACACCTGTGAAAATTTCACACCAGTTCGATGATTTGGTGACTATTTACAGTATTTATTTAAAACAATGAAAGAATATAATTGATGGTTTTTGTTAAAAAAAAATTACTCTGATCTGGACATATACGCCATTTTACATTGGCTTAATTCATGTCTACCCATATCCAAAAAAATAAAAAATATAAATAGCCCTTAAACTCTCCATAGGCCTGATAAGTTATACTTACTTTTTTTTCTGTCGAAAACATGATTTTAAATGGGATCATACGAATCCAACGACGATGGTCACAACAGAATAGAAATAAAAATCTTGAGAAGTATTTATAATCGAAAAGTGAAGCTACCATTCTAAAAATATAAATAAGCAATATATTTACTCTTTTGCCTCAAATTTCGAGTCTGAGAAACTTTTTGTCCAAATTTTCGCCCCCTTTATTCGACAAAATTGTATGATCCATAACTCGGATCGCCGCCTCATCCTTCTTCAAACCCGGAGCGCTGCGACTACTATCTATCTATTTACGAATCTCAAAAGGAAAACTTAGGGAAAAATAAATAATTATTTAAATCAGATAACACACTCATTGTGAAAACTGGAAGATATATTGGAGGCGTTGGAAGTTGGAGACGTTAGAGAAACTTTGTAGGACTCGTGCCACTTTTGAAGAATTCTGTGTTAATGAATAAAGTCCAACCCTGTAAAACATGTTTCATCATAGAGTCTCTGTAATTAATAAACGTATTACAAGAACTACTCCGCCATCAGTTTAACTTTCATTCGGATCATCTGCCATCCTCCCTGAGCACTGCGATAAATGCCCTAAAACAAGAAAAAAAGTTGGTATTTATTCCGACGATTTTAGGTACGCCTTATCTGATGCAAATATACAAATATACAAAACAAGAAATTCTTAGTCTAATAAAAACTGGAAACGAAACGCCCGTTTATTAAGATTTGATATAATAAATAACAATTTTAATTCATTAACGCCTTTTATCAGAAATCGGAAGGTATTGTCGTTGGTTCTTATGCTTATTTTCCTTACTAAGTTTATGGCTTTTGAACAGTGTGATGTAATAGATGATATTTGAGTCCGGACGCATATTTGAATGTTTTCTCACATTCGGTGCATTCATAAGGTCCCAAACCAGAATGAACACGCTTATGTACATCTAAATTATCCTTATGTTTGAATGACCTGTTACACTCCGAACAATTATATGATCTTCCTCTAGGTTTTTCAAAGAAGTGATCACGCATGTGTGCTTGCAATTGATCCTTGTGTTTAAACGATTTCGCACATTCTGAACAAATGTGAGGTCTTTCATTGTTATGACTGACCTGATGATATTTTAAGTTGTTTAAAGTGCCGAAGATTTCTTGACAAAAATGACATTTAAACAACTTGCCGGAGGAATGAATTCGCATATGCGCCAAAAATTTATCTTCATGATCATATGATTTGCCACATTCAGAACAAGTGCGCGGTTTTTCATCACAGTGAATTTTCAGATGAGATTGCAAGCTTGATGATCTTTTGAATGCTTTATCGCAGCTATGACATTTAAAGGGTCTTTCAAGTGAATGAAGAAGGACATGATCCATTAACCTACTTTTGTGTTTAAACGACTTGCCACAATCTGAACAATTGTACTGCTTTTCATGATTATGTGTTGCGAGATGGCACTGTAAACTGTGGAAAGTCCTAAAGACTTTGTCGCAAGACTGGCATCTATACAATTTGTCACTTTTGTCCATTTTATCCCACATGTCACGACGCACAGACAGCGGGTTCTGCAGCCATTTCAAATCCTCCTTATTTTCAGTTTCTAAGTGACTAATTGCGTTACAGGCACTAATTGAATTGACTTCACTGCAACTGATTTGTTTACAATGCTTGGATAAAATGGTATTTATGCACTTACCTTAGTGTATATTCCGCTACTTCCATGTCATTATTGAAATTCAAGAGAGGATTTCCTATTATTTCTAATTCTGTACTTGTTGCCGGTGCACTTTTGAACATTTCAATCTTCGTTGTAATTGGTACTTCCGTTGACGCCGACAAAGGCGAATCGATTTTTTCAGATTCTTTTTTAATTTGTACTCCTTCTAAGAAAGATACCTTAGAACTTGTTTCTTGGGAATATTTTATACCTCTAGTGTTATTCAGGGACACCATAAGTTCCGCCTGACTTTCCCTGGCTTTCGATATAAATGCATAGATATTTCTTAGCAAAACCGCGCAACCTTTGCAAACACTTTGTGGCAAGCAGTCGTCAACAATAGACATATGCTAAAATAAAGGATAACTTTTTGCCGACGGTATGAATGAATATCATTAAATTTGGCGGCTTACATCCATTTGCAACAAATCTTTTAACAATTCACCGTAAGTCTTTCGTTGAGTATCGCTGTCATCAATCACATGCTGCAAGCATTGATAATTTGTTACGGCTTTTGTGCATGTGCGACAGCTTGTGTCTATTGTCTTTGCAGTACAGGAACCACATGGCGTAATAGTTGGGCACGAGTCCATTTAAATAAATTTTATATATCGATTTGGCTTTCTATATCCAACGAACACGGCTTTTTTTTAATAACGTTATAAAAATGAGAATCTTCTTCTTTTTAGTCAAGCTCAAAGGAGTTAACAGCATATTGCGCTACGAAAAAACCGGAACACAAGGGTAAATCATGTAAGCAGGCAACTGCCGTCCTTATGATCGTCTTGTTTTGTTGTTTATGTATACTGATGATTCTCGTCAAGACGTTAATTATGTGCAATTGTCGCCAACTTTCCAATTTTAGAAAGAGACGCGTAAAAAATAAGACGATTTTACGTAAAATTACGTAAAATTTAGGTAAGGCTACAAAGTGGCAAACGAATTTCAATGTTTTTTGGGGAAACCATATAGTGATCATAAACGATTTACAAGAAATTTACATATTATTGCTGCGAATAAGTAAGAAGTCCTTCTAAATGTAAGTAATACGTGCTTTCAATCTGAAGACTATATACGCATTTATAATGCATTTTTCACCAATTAATAGCATGAAATGAAAAGAGTTAACGAAAATTCCATACGAGCAAATAAAATGGAATTATCTCATATGAAACCTTTGAAAACACAACAGCAAAATAAGAGATATTGTAAAGGAAGAAGTCTTTGAAGAGTTTAAACGTGGACAAATAAAGGAGAAATATTATTTTCGTTTTACTAATTCTTCGCGCTACAGGTGATTTAATAATACGAACGATTTCAGGAAATTTTCGATGGAATAAATGAGTGATATATTACTTTACTATTATTAATATTAATCGATTGTGGATTGAGCTTGCAACCAAGCTAAGTTTATAAGTTTTGGTGCGCAGAAATGCTGTAGAATACCGAAGAGTACGTGAACAAAAATTTTAGTCGTGCTTAATTACTTTTATTTTTATTTCCCTTTATTATTTTCAGGTTTCGACGAGACACAAATACAAAATGAAACAACACTTACAGTATGGTCACTACGGGGAAGCCATTAGTAGCTTTCGAAACCCAACAAGCTGAAAGAATATAGCGAAATATTTCAAGAAAAAGCGAAAAAAAGAATTAAGGGGAAAAGATTTAAAAAATATAGCGAAAAGTTTTAAGAAAAACTCAACGAAAAATAAAGGGGAGAGAGTATTAAAAAAAATCAACAGTTATAGACACAGTGTACACCATGTACCTTAGCAATTAAACCACAACACATTTACTACACAATCAGTATACACATATTTAAGAGTGATAATAAAACTATATACAGCTGTGATTTGGAGTTCCAGTTATCATTACGTCATCAACTAGATAATTATCTTCATCAACTCTAATGTCTACATCATCATCTCTGGCAGCACACAACCGGCGTAACGCATTCTTTATAGTACTTACTTTATGTATATACCGCTTATATTTAACTTGTCTCATTTAATGATATGTATTTACTTACTAATTTTCTAATCCGCCCCCGTTAATTAAAATAGAATGATTAATATTGTTTTCAATATTCAAATTACTATGAATTAAAGAAGAGAAGAACAATATAAATAAAATGTGTTAAAGCTTTCTTTTATATGAGAGGAAGATGACTTAAAGGGTCACCGGTCCCAATTTCGTCTTCTGCCAATGAATATCATGGGTCGAAGGAGACCATAGCTTCGGTAGAGTAAAGGATACCCAGGGAATAGAATACGTCCGTTCATTAAGATAGGTTTCGCCCGTAAGAGTAAAGTACGTGCTGTTCTTTTAGGTGTAACCGTCTGTGGACTGTCCGTGGGACGGAAGTTTAAAACCCAAGAGATCAACGACACGTGCGTTCGTCACTACAATATCCGATCATCTTCAAGTGGCACTTAAGAGTAGCACTAAAAATAATAAGAGAAAGTTATTACAAACTCTAAAGTCATAGCTAACATAGACGCAGACGCGGTAGGTAGTTATGTAGTCTTCACACCGCTACTCAAATCAATTTTTCCCAGGATGTAAAGAAAATGTGCTTTAGAAACTCGAAACTTCTGCAAAAATTTCTATTATTTCTTCTCGCCAATCCGTAACTTAATCTAAAAACATACTGTCGTCCTTTTCACAGTTTAAACTGGCGCTGTCGAATTGTGAACAAATAATCTTCATGGACGATAATCTTCGTAATCTTCATGGAAAATTGTCACTTCCTGACAAACATAGCAATTTTAGGAAAAATTTTCCAAGTTACCCTGGTTCAATTTTCTGGGAAAAATAAATATTGCCGTTTGCATTTGCTTATATGATTAGATTTTATTGGGGACTTTCCTTTACTACCGTGTCGCCTGCGTACATGATTACGCTTCTGATATCAGCTGGGAACTAAAGAGAAGCACAATTTCTTTCTCCATATGTATAGAAATGGGCCCATTTCTCTAAATTTGTGTCTTATATGGCGATGGGAACCTTGGAAAGAGTACAAATGAAGCACAAACCGTGTCGTTTTAGACACCGCAAAGACTTTTTGAAACGATAGAATGTAACAAGTGATGCGACCACTTTTTTCAAGCCTGTTCGGCAGAAATCCTTTCGGAAATAGAAAAAGTGTTCTTTAGAAGAAGCGAATTCGTTCCGCTGTCTTGAAATATTTAAATGTTAGTAAGAAAAGTTGATAGAATGAATCGTTGTAAGGAAAACGAAATGTGAAGGAAGTTTTACAATGACTTGAAGAAGTTAAAGGAATCTCTAATGCCATCAAGCCTATGACATCTGAAGATTAGATGCTCAGCAGACTCAACAACATTGCAAACTTCACAAACATCCCATGGTATAGCGCGAATCATTTTTAAATAAACTTTGTCATAAGTGTGACCACTCATGAGTCTATAATGAATTTTGATTTCCCAGGAATTAAAAGAAGATACAGAGAAGGGTTTGAATTGAAATGTGGGATTTAATTTAAAGAAAAGACGATTGTATTTAACGCGCGCGATTTCTTTAAATTCGTCGTTTAGCTGTTGAAGGATGTGGTTGCGAATTGCCCGAATTGCTCTATTGGGAGTGTGTTTGATGGACAAAATTGTCCCATGAACACGAGCTCTCCCTGCATGAAAGTCGGCTTTTACATTTAAAAAAAAGCCGCAGTGGCCTGGTACCCAAACAAGGTGACAATCATCCACTTGAGATTCGTGCAACGTCTTGTGAATGTCAAACACATATTGATTTTCTGCATCTCTTTTATTTATTAGAAGTAGAGCTGACCTGCTGTCGGAAAAAATAACAAAACGTTTGATACCATCGGAGATAGCAACCATGATAGCATGTCGAATGGCGAGCAAATCAATAAAAGTAGGGGAAAGTTTCTCTTCCACTTTAACTCGATGTACTGTTTCAGATAGATGTTTCACGACCGAGAAGCCAGATACACAATGTCCGATGGAACCGTCGGTGGCATATATATCGTAGCCGTTGTTGTAATAAAAAAGGAGCTTTTCTTGGCATAATAACCTTATACAAGAGAAGTTGACATTTTGTTTTGAAGTAGAGATCGGTTCGAGAATGTTCATGAAGACTTTGCATTTGCTGGTAATGAAATTCAAGGGGGGAATTGAATCTAACTTATCAAAAATATGACGAAGTTTTTGATAGCAAAAAGTATAGCTACAAGTGACAGTATCACTGAGAGATATAATTTCCTGAAAAAAGGAAGGATTTATCATCTTGACTTTAATTAACTCCTTGGCAGTGCAAAAAAGGGCTCTTTCGGAAACGGGCCATTCACCAGATATAACATTGAGAGTATGTTGAGGAGTTGAGGGGGTCAGTCCAGTACAACGCTTCAACATTCGGTTTTCAAATGCTTGTATACGTTTTTCAATATATTTTGGGAAATTGCAACATATGGGATGTCCAAATTCAATTTTGGACCTGACTAGAGATTTGTAAACGGTCAAAGCATTTTTGGGAGGCAAGCCTGCGTGATTGTTTGTCATGAGTTCGATGACGTTGCATCCAGACTGACAGTCTTTGAACGCCTTTTTATAATGGCCACGAAGGGTTAAATTGTCATTTAAAATTCTCCCAAGAAATCGAAGAGATTTTACCTGATTAACTTGGGTACCTTTGATAAGAAGTCTGATTTCACGTTTAGAACCTTTGGCAAAATAGATAGTGTTTGTCTTGCTGGGGTTAAAATATAAATTAAGATCAGCGCATGCATCGAAAAACAAGTTCGCTTTCATCGAGAGGTTATTGACAGCTGCTGGAAAAGATGAGTCCGCAGATACGATTAGAAAATCGTCTGCATATTGAAAAATGTGAGTTTTGTTATCTTGAAGATTATGCAAAGAAGCTGCGTATAAATTGAAGAGTATGGGGCTTAAACAACTGCCTTGTGGGATACCACCGCATATTTCAACTTTTTCGGTACCCATCACCAACACACGCTTGGATAAAAAATTAAGTATCCACAGCCGCATTTGAAGAGGAATCGAAAAGTTTAGGAGAATTCTACCGAGCTTAATTAAGTTGACACAGTTATAGGCTTTGCTGATGTCCAGGGAGAGCATGACAACCATTTTCCCTGCTTTTTTTAAGCTGGCTATGAGAAAACACAGTTCATTAACGCACATATTCGTAGATTTGCGTTTTTGATAGGCGTAAGACCGAGCTGGAATAATGTTCAGGAAAGCAGTTAATCTCTCCTTAACCATGAGGTTGATGGTCTTTATGAATACAGATATTAGTGAAATTGGTCTGAAGCTACTTAAATCATTTAAGTCTTTACCTGGCTTGGGAATGGGAACTATTTTGATGCAACGCAAATCAGAGGGTGTAAAGTTGGTGGACCAGCAGTTGTTAATTGCATGCAAAAGCATGCTAAAGCTTCCTCCAGACAGTGCTGTGAGCATGTCATACTTGACTCCATCACAACCTGCAGCAGTAGCTCTCTTTCTGGAATGTAAAACATACATTAGTTCATGCAATGAAAAGGGTGTGTTACTGATACTACTAAAAGGAATTGAAGGCATTGTAATAGGATTAACAATTGGAATGTAGCTCTTGAGCATATCTAAGTATTTTTTATTATCACGGTCATTCCATACAGCACAACCGTTTAATTTTCGACTAGAATGT